TTGGTCACAGGAGAAGTGGAGGGATGGCAATCTCAAGTTTGGACAAGTTACATTTGATGTACCGGTGGGGTCTTAGGCTCAATACGTTGGTACAGATCTAAGACTCACAGGAAAAGTTAGAGAAACAGATGAGATTTGATAATTATTTACCAAGAAGTGGTGGATAAATCCTGATGTAGAGGAGGTTATCAGGAGAAACATCAAAAACTGTGAACTCCATGAGTCAAGCATGAAATTCCAGAGTAGACAGAAAGGACCAGGAGAAGGAGAAGGGACCCCTGCAGGGGACTGAGAAGGGACAGCCGAAGATACGGGAATAGCACAAGTGAGATGGCTAGTTGAGAAGTGAAGGGAACCAAGACATTAACCCCCAGAGGCAGGTAAGGAGTGCCAGGTGGCCTTGGGATGTGGCCATGCAGAGGTCATTGTTGGAGGCATCAGTGCTGCTCTAATCAAGGGCCAGGGAGTGGAGCCCACAGGCAGAAGCCCCAGTGCAGAGGGAGAAAGAAAATGTGGGAAGTAAGAAAACAGACAACCAGTAGAGACAGCACTTTCTTTTTTTTTCGGAGACACAGTCCCTCTATATCACCCTCAGTAGAGTGCTCTGATGTCACAGCTCACAGCAACCTCAAACGGATTCTCTTGCCTCGGCCTCCCAAGTAACTGGGACTACAGGCACCTGCCACAATGCCTGGCTATTTTTTGTTGCAATTGTCACTGTTGTTTAGCAGGCCCAGGCCGGGTTCAAATCCACCTCCCTTGGGGTATGTGGTTGGTGCCCTAACCACCAAACTATGGGCGCCGAGCCTGTACTTCCAAGAAACAGGGCTGGACTAGCATGGAGGTGTGAAGAAAGCAGACAACAGTACCGGGCAGCTATAGCTGGAGGAATTTGTTTTTAAAATAGAAAAGGCCAGGACTTGTTTATACATAGAGATGGAGCTGTTAAGGAGGGGGACAAGTAAGGTATCTCAAGAATGGAAGAAAAAGTATCCATTGTACTCAGCTCTACTATGAAACCAAAATATAATCACCCACACTTCCATAGGAAAGCTCTAACCCAACTATAGCCCAAGATGAATGGGAAAGAGGAGAGGGAGGGGAGGAGATGGGGGAGAATGAGTGGAGGGAGGGTAATTGGTGGGACAACACCTACGGTGCATTTTACAAGGGTACATGTCAAATCTATTAAGTGTAGAGTATAAATGTCTTAACACAATAATGAAAAAGTGCGGTAAAGGCAATGTTAGCTAGTTTGTTGTAAGTATTTCAAATTGTATATAAAACCAGCACATTATATACCCCATAAATGCATTAATGTACACAGCTATGATTTAATAAAAAAAATAATGATAATAAATAAATAGACAGGAGAGAGATCGTAAGTAGAATTCAGATCTGGAGGAGTCAGCAGGTGGGTCAGAGGGGAACACAAGCCAGGAGGAAGAAGGCTTCA